GTTCAGCCACAGAACTATGAAGCTAACCACAGCCACTGCAGCATGAGTTCCATTCCAGCCAGGGAGGTGACCCACATGGCGCAGCAGACCTCTGCTGTCCTGCTTGCTGCTCCCCTCAGCAGTATATTTCAATGGATCTGCCTGTGTTATTCTCCACTCTGTCTCTGGTCAATCTTATCTCCCCCTGCACCTTTGGCCTGCACCCCAGCTCCTGTATGCAGAAATAAGTTTTTTGTGTTTTTTTTTTTTTTAATAAAAGAAGCTCAGGATCAGAGTAAGCCCCAGGCAAAGCAGATATCAGAGGTCAAGAGAGAACCAGAAGAGAGGAGACCTTGTCATGCCAACCAGACTCAACAGAGGCAAAGGAGCACCTGAGAGCTGCCAGCAAAGGCTGACCAGTCAGGCTGGCCAGACAGGCTGGCCAGGGCTCCTGTGGCAGATCCGCAAGCATGGTGCTTTTACCTCCCACCCACCAACACTGCTGTCCTTTCTCATGGAACAATGTCAGGGACAGATACCTTCCTTAGCACAGCCACAACACATGTAGGATATGCTTTCAGTAACAGATGTTAGGGCCACTCAATCTAAGGAGAGCCAATGACCCCATCCTTGCTAAGAGTTCAGAATAAGTGTCATTTTTCATAAAATGAGAAAGTGACATCCTTTATCCTTGTTAATTATTGCTTGTTTGGAAGGTTGGTTGATCTGTTATTTGTTTATTTGTTTAGTTGGTTGCTTAGTGGGTTGGTTGATAAGTTGCTTGGTATGGAGGTGAATTGATTGGTTGCTTGGTTTTGCTTATTTTATTTTAAAAATATAAATTTTAAGTGTTTCTCAAAAGAGGTAAATGATTTTATTGTATGAATAGCCTGATGCTTAAAATATCAGAACTAATGCAAGTTTTTAAAACCTCTAACAGGCTCTTAGGAAGATATGAAGTTCAACAAAGCCTATAAGGACGTCTTATAGAGGGAAAGTTTTCCATATATCCAAATTTCCATAAACAGAATAGCCCTGAGAATATTTCCAGAGGTCTGGGGCTACCTGCACAAATATCCTCTCCATAGCTGTTCTGGACCTTGGGGTCACATGTCTTAAAGAGAACTATAGCCATACCACAAGCTATTGTCAGAAAGTGGTGCTGTTTAAATGAGCTAGCCCAGAAACTCCCAGGTGAAAAGGATTTCCAGGAAACATTTAATCTTCCCAAGTTGTAAGCTGCTTGAAGGAAGAGATGATTATTCGTGAAAATTCATACCTCCTAAGCATCTGGCAAAGAGTTTTGTAGATAATTTGAACTTTAAAATACTTGAATGTACAAAAGGATAGATGGAGTGATAGATGAGTATACAGATAACATTAATGTATGACTGAGAGTACACCAACATGTGCTGGATGAATACACAACAGTGTAAATGAACAAATAATTAGATGATACTTACTCACATTGATTAATGAGGGAATGAACAGAATGTTTTTTCACAATATCCTCTGAGACCAGCAAAGCCATTAGGTAAGAATTTGGGTGACAGATGTGACACTTTAGGGCCCTCCTACATTATGAATAGATTCCATAAGGGCCTTATGAGTTCTATTTTCCTTACTGTAGTCACCATGACACAAGCATCAGAACTCAGCTGCAAGCCCAAGACACCAATGATGACAATTACCCCCTGAATAAATGCTCAGGTCCTAGTGGATTGATCCACGCCATAAATTAACACATTTTCCCTGAGAATATAGTTAGTTCACAGGGGACCAAGATGAAGATGCTGCTTTTAAAATTCTCATCCCCACAGTGAATCAAAGGTAAAACCAAACTTTCTTCATGGAGAAGAGAATCAGAACCAAGTGAATGGACCCAGTGGCCTAGAACTAGCTCTCCCTGCACAGAGACACATATGAGCTTGCGAGGCCTCCATTTCTCCATTCTTCAGACACTGCAGAAGGCTCTTTAACAAATTCTGCATGATGAACTTCTCCTTTTTCAATGGTTTTCATTGATCGCCAATTCTTCCATCATGACAAATGGCTTTGTGATATACTCTATACAGTGAATAAGCAGGCAGCTCAACTGATATTGGCCATATTTGTGATGGAAATCTTCCCAAGGTGATTGGAGAGCATTCTTGGGATATGTTTCTCCCAGAAATGATTTTCAGAGAATATTCCCATATACATTCTTAGTACCCATTTCAGAAGATGACATTTTATGGCCAACTTTCCAGGATTCAGGATGCATTCTATTAGGACCATACAGATCCCTATACCTTGACAGCAGCCAGATCACCATTGTTTTTCCAGGATAAGCCCCCTTAATGTAATATCCTATGATGAGAAAGTAACCATTTGAGACAGTTCTGCCTTTCCCTTCAAGTGTCCTTGGAAAGTCTCAATTTTTCCAGTTATAATATTGCCCATACTGCAGTAGTTATTATGTGTTAATATCTGAAAAGCCCATAATAGTGTTTAATCAAAAGAGCAATTGGCTATGACAATGAGGAAAAAGCTTGTGCTTTGGATCACATGGGTCTTCAGAATCACCCATGCTCAGGGGTTTTCCCTCTGGAAGACACCAAGGATTCATTTGTCATCCTTTTGTAAGATTCATTCTACTTATAGTGGACATGGCTCTTTCCCCACTTTGCCACAAGCTCATAAGGACAGACATGTTCACTCTGTTAACTACTGTTAACATGTCCAACTTGTTATTACTAACCATCCTTTGCCCAGTTGTGGGGCTCAGCAAAATGTTAAGTCACTTCTAGAAACAGCTTTGCATATATCTGGCAGGAAGGTGTCTGCAGGAGGACCTACAACTTCTGGAGAGGAGAGTGTCAATCTTGAAAGACCCATGTTGAAAGGGTGAGACACTGAAATAAAAGCTTTGCTACATACACTTAAAACTCACAGTTCACCATGACCTTTGCCAAGAGGTAGGAAGTTAACATCCTTAGCATATTATTTAGTGATCTTGCAAGTTTCATTGTTTGCTGTAAATTAATTCCTAAAGTGGACACAACTAGGTAAGCATTGAACCCATGTAGAAAAACTCAAAAAGAAATGTTTTCTTCAGAAGTTGAAACAATACAGTTTTATGTAAGCTTGATCGATAATTTTAAATGTCACTTCAGGCAAGTCATTTCTCCTTCTAGACACCAGATTATGGAGCTTTAAAATTGGAAAGAGAAATAGTTAAATTTCATTGCCCCTTCCAGCTCAAACTGTCCAGAATCTTTTCATTCTATAGGTATCCACATGCATTTCCTTCTTCACCTTGGATTTTAGTTGTTGTTTTTGCTTTTTTTATAGTTCAAATACCTTCATTGTGACAATGCTCACAGTCTGTGGATGTGCTGTTTCTCACAAATTTGGTACTGATGAATTGTGGTTCCTGAGTGTTATTACACCAGGGTCTAGTCATGGCATTGTTGTGTTCTGAGCTATCTGTGTCCTACTTCTTACCCCTAGCTATGCTGCAGGCGGTGCGGGCCCTGATGATCGTGGGCATCGTCCTAGGTGTCATTGGGCTCCTGGTGTCCATCTTCGCCCTAAAATGTATCCGCATTGGCAACATGGAAGACTCTGCCAAAGCCAACATGACGCTGACCTCTGGGATCATGTTCATCATCGCAGGTAAACATGGAGTGTGGGATTCCCGTTCCCACACCTGTTTCTGGGAAATCAAAGCAAACTCACTTTAGTAAAGAAAGTGTGGTTTTCCCCTAATGATTATGATTTGGTTACAGATTCAGAACATTTCACACTAGGATACAAGATATGAGGCTAAGGCCCAATTACAATCTACAGAATTATCTTAAGTGCTAAGAACTGTCTTAGTTGCTTCCCAGCTTATAAAATATTCTCAACCCTCAAGTAATCATGTGACTCAATCTCTAAAGCATTATTTTGATAGGTCTCTAGAAAATGATTTAAGAGATCTTGGCATCATTAAAGTACCAGGGCCAAAATATTTGTACTTTTTTTTTTATTGAAGTAACATTGCTTTATAATACTATATAAGTTTTAGGTGCACATCTTTGAAAATCAGCATGGGTATATACTACGTTAAGCTCACCACTAAAAGTCTACTCCTATACTTCACCATACACTTTGTCCCAGTTTACTTTCCATACTCCCCCTTCCTTCTGTAGTCTATGTAATTGATATTACAATCCAAAATTTGTTTCTCTTTTATTCAGTTCATCCATTTGTTTTCTCTATCTACTACATGTAAGTGAAATCATATGGTGTTTGTCTTTCTCTATCACTCTTGTTTCACTAAGCACATACCCTCTAGGAACATCATGTTGCAAATGACAGGATTTCATTTTTCTAATATTTGAATTGCACTCCATATCTTCTTTATCCATCTTTAGTTCATGGGCATTTAGGTTGTTTTCAGGTCTTGGCTATAGACAACAATGTTTAAAAAAACATAGAGGTACATAGCTCTTCAAATGAATATTATTGTTTTTCCTGGGAAAACACACCCAAAAGTGAGGCAACCCTTGACTCCAATATGTTTGTAGAATCTCATTCTATGTGCATACAACTCCTTTCACAATTAGTGAGATAAGAGATTCTAAGCATTTCACAATGTCTAGTGGGAATTCAGTAATTGATGCTTATGTTGACCATTCTGTTATGGGTGTGGAAGATTCCTTGATGTGCTCATATAAAATCACGTAAGTACACTTTGCCTCAGAAATGTTGCGTTCCCTTGATAAGCAACTCTGGAGCTTCCTTATTCTTACACCACAGGTATTTGTGCCATCGCTGGAGTGTCTGTGTTTGCCAACATGCTAGTTACCAACTTCTGGATGTCTACGGCTAATATGTACACTGGCATGGGAGGGATGGTACAGACCGTTCAGACCAGGTAACCTCCTAATCTACATCTCAGTATTGTATGGTGAATATTGTTATAAAAAATTTGATTAAACACACATGCCTAATGTGACTGTCAGGGCCTGAAATAGCAAACATTTATCAGAAGCAACTATGCCATATTGTAAATCAAAAAAATGATCTGCAAGTTCATAAACTTCATTTCAGTGAAATATTCTTGGTGATATGACTTGAGGCTGATCTGACATTTGCATTGAAACACAGCTCGCAGTATTCGTCCAACAAGTTTACATGACCCATTGTGGTGAAAATAAAACAAACTATTAAACCAGGCATGTAAATGAACAGCAACACACATCTCTAGTTTGAAATCAGACAACCCCAGGTCATAATTCCACTATGGGCTAGAAGAATACCTGAGGGTAGGTCTATATCTGTCTTGTGCCTGCACAGTGCCAGGGTAGAGCCAGGCACATAGGAGGAGATCAATAAATATTTGTTGAGCAGGTATACAAACAAAAAAATGAATGAATGGTCACTTCAACTTCATCTATTCTGACAATAGATGAACTATCGAGTCCCATTCATTCTTCCTGCATGGATGGTTATAAGTGTGACTTGAGGTAGATAAATACTCTTGCTCCACAGCAGGAACTCAAGTACTAAAATTCCCTCAGTAATAATAACTTGAGACTCTTTCAAACTCCACATCTTTCAAACTTTTCTTGCAAAACCTCTAGATCGTTTTGTCAATAGGGAGAGCCAGGTGCTTCCTGAGATGTTTCTTTAAAACATCTATATAATTAAGTCTATGCCTGGGTAATAGAACCTCACTGCTGTTCTGCTGATTAGCCTCAGTCCCAATTCTATTCTCCAAAGTATCTGATTCAGTTGTTTGTGACCAAATGGAGCTTGTTTTCAGGGAGGCATGGCGAGGGGTAGGAGATTAATCCAAATGTGGGTACAGCCAGGTGCAGGGTAAAGCCTTGAAAATCGATCCCTGACACCATCTCCCTGTTCAGGTACACCTTTGGTTCGGCTCTGTTCGTGGGATGGGTTGCTGGAGGCCTTACACTAATTGGGGGTGTGATGATGTCTATTGCCTGCCGGGGCCTGGTACCTGAGGAAAGCAGGTGAGTATCCCCATCCCAATCCAATCAGACATTTGATCCAGATCCACACTAATGTGTAATTTGCAACCAGAATGTCTAGGCATATGGAAGCACTTCGTTGACAAAAGAATCATTGAAACTTCTCTTTTCAGTGATTTAAAGGGGCCTAAAGAACAGATCAGGAATATTTCAGCCTGATTTTTATCAGGCTGAGCAGATTTAGGTGAGAGCCTATTAGAAGGGGGATAAAAATCCCTCTAGGTTCCCTCTGGCTTCCACAATCTACTGACTCAATGGTTCTCAGCTGGGAGTGATTTTTCTCCTGCCCTGGGACTATAGAACATCTGAAGATACTTTTGATCACTACAACTTTGGAGCACAGGTGATATGTGCATCTAATAGGCGGCAGCCAGGGCTGGTGCTAAAATCCTAACAATGCACCAGAGAGAGCCCTGCAATAAAAAAAAAAAAAAAATCTGTTAGAAAATATCAGTCTCATTGCTGTCAAGAAACCTTCCCTCATTCTGGAAGTGGACCCAGAGTAGGGAGACTGGGATTTGAGTCCACTGCTATCTAACCCTGTGATGCTCTAGTGGGTTATTTGCCCTTTCTGGGCTTCTGTAGTTCATCTATAACTGAGCAAGTGAAAGGAGATCGCACCTTCCTGCTCACAAATTCTGAAATTCTTTGGCAAAACCACATTCCCTTGGACATTGTTTTTGGTTCAGTTTCTTTTTGACTAATAGAGGGAACTTACTAGTCATTATCTACAAGCTTAATAAAAAACTTTAATTCAAAGCCAGAAATTCTGCTCCACAGCAAAAAACCAATACCCCAAAGATTAGTTTGCCTAGGAATAAGCAGTTTCCTAAGACATTAAACATTTTTTAAAGATTTTATTTATTTTTTTGTAGAAGAATTAGGCTGTGGGCCAGAGGTGGAGGGTGAGAGGATTCATCAGAGACAAAGTAGAGAGCAGAACAGGTGATTTTATGGAAATACACTGCTGAGGGGAACTGGGGTAGGGGGGGTAGTCAGGACCTGCGATCAGACCAGGGAGGTGGGTTTTTACAGTATGTCACTGAGTTTTAACCTGTAGACCACCAGGGGGTTCACAAGACATTGGTCTTTTAGTGCTAAAACTGTGACGCAGGCCACAGTAAATGAGGAGATTTGCACTCCTACCAAATACATCGAAGGTCATGGAAAATTTATTTTTCTTTCAGCTACAAAGCAGTTTCTTATCATGCCTCAGGCCACAATGCCGGCTACAGGCCTGGAGGCTTCAAGGCCAGCTCTGGTTTTGGACCCAACCCCCAAAACAAGAAGATCTATAATGGGGGTGTTCGCCCAGAGGATGAGGCACAGTCCCACCCTTCCAAGTATGACTATGTGTAGCTCCCACCACACCTTGGCTTGGGCAGAAGAAACTCCCCAATGAGCACTCACTTGAAAAACAAGGACTTCTTACCTTGTTGCTTTTTCCTGGTTGATTTTGACTCACAATTGGAAGTTACAAAAGTCTTGATTTCACTTTTGGTGAGAACATAGTTCTTGGTCACATATCTCTGTCTCAGTGTTGCATCACAAAGCAGCTGAGGTGTCAGGTATGCATTAGAGGCTACAGCTCACATTTTTCTATCATTATTTCATTCGTTCTAATCTAATGATAGAACGGGGTTTAAATTCCTGTCAGACTCATGGATGATTCAGACCCACTCTCCTTTCTCCTTCTACTTAGTAACCTATTGATTGTCTACCCCCCAGTTCTATCCCTGAAAACTTTTAAAAGGGAAAAATAGAGTCAATCAAGATACCATTTACTGCTGTTTGATTTTTTACTTTCCTCTCCTTTCCCCTCCCAACCTACTAATAAACACTGATTGAGGAAGAAGTAATAGGGTAAGCCATTTGTAATGTCTCCTGCTTGTTATCTGAGTTTTCCTATATGGTGACCTTGAACATTACCTCGAATATAGTGATTCAGACCTTCTGCTTCTGTTGGCTTGTCGTAACACTCCCCCTTGGGCTTTCTGAGCTCCCCACTGCAGGCCCTCTTTCAGTCACAGACCGGAAAGTGTCTCAAGGAATAAGAAAGTGGTTTTGTTTGTTTTGTTTTGATAATCTAAATATTTTTGGTATCTAACGATAGATAATGTATTAGTAAAATGTTACACTATTTGTGAATTAACTTCACTTCTACACATGGAAAATGAAAAATTGTTTTGATGTATATACTATGCTTTGTAAAAATCACACAAGCCTGAATTTCATAAAATGCTCACTCATCCTGATTCTTTGAGAACTTCAGGACTCTGTTTATACATGACAGAGTCAGTATAACACAGGTGGAAAAAAAAAAAACAGAAAGAAAGAAAAACAAATAATGGAATACAGCAGGTCCTAGGAAGTAAGTTCAAACTTGTTCTTTCAAAATAAATAAATAAATAAATAAATAAAAGGTGATGAATTAATGTTGGGGTTCTAAATGCTGGAATCTACACTTGCATGTGGCAGGTCAGTTGACTGTAGCAACTAAGGGGTGGTGTGGTTAACTTGGTTACTCTGAGAGCTTGTTCTTACTAATTCACCTGGAGGGCTTGGCTACTTAAAAACTTAAGGCTTTGCAGCTACACACCTTTCCTGTATTATATCACTACCGCAAAAAAAAACAAAACCCCCTTTACCAAGCCCCTAGAATCCCATCCCAGCAAACAAAACTGGAATAGGCCCGCTGGAAAACTGAGTTAAGGACAGTCTCTCTAAGCTACAAACTTAAGGTACAGCATTGGCCCTGGGGGAATCTGGCCATTGGGTTATTATTGGGGATTTAAAAAAAA